TGAAGATAAAAAACAAAAACAAAAAAAAGAGATAGACACAGAACATATATGTATGTACGCATAACCAATGGACAGAGACAACAAAGCCAGGGACGGGGTTAGGGGGATGGGGAGGAGGGTCTCAATGGGGAAAAAAAGGAGAAACAAAATAAAATAAACAAACAAATTTCAAAAACAAGTAATCACAAAATCAAAAGACAAATGAAAATCTGGTAAGAAATAGTTTTAGCTAATTTCTTAAATATATAGATTTAAAAAAAAAAAAAAAACCAACAACATATTAGAGCCCACTGAGAGGTCGCTGGTTCAATTTCCGGTCAGGACACATGCCCAGGTTGTGGGCCCAATCCCCAGTGGGGGGCATGCAGGAGGCGGCCAATTGATGTTCTCTCTCATCAATGTTTTTATCTCTCTCTCCCTCTTTCTCTCTCTCTCTAAAATCAATAATTGAAAAAAACCCTATTAGAAAAAGTGAACAGAGGATAAAAGCAAACAGGTAGTAGAAAAGGAAGTACAGGTGATCCTTAAATGTGAAAAGATTAATAACCGCTTTCAAAGTAAGAGAAATACAATAAAAGTTATAAGATAACATTTTTACTTATCAGACTAGAAATAAGAATGATGAGGTTGTATGAAAATAGGTAATTTCATATATTGTCAATGGAAATATAAATTGGTACAATCTGTACAAAATACAAATCAGTGATATCTATGAAAATAAAGATAATCATATCCTTTGACTCTGCAAAGGGGATTTTTCACACAGAGTATGGCTCCCTTCCTTCAGTTTACTTAGACATTATCATGTAAACTGCAGCAGCCATCTTATCATCATAAAGGGAGACAACCTGAGAACCAAGCAAACGCAGTGAGGATGACAGAGTGAGAGGCAGAAAGAATCTAAGTCTTCATTGATATTATGTAGCTGATTATACAGTATCTAAAACTGCCTTACGTCTGGACTTACATGAGAGAATACATTTTTCTATTGTTTAAACCATATTTGAATTGGGGTTTCTGTTATTTACAGCTGAAAATATTCTAAATAAATAAATATGTGTATAGCAAGTGTGTACATATATAAATTATATATACCTCAATATACACACATATATCTTTACATTTGAATATGCTGTTACTAAGTCTTTCATAATCAATGTAACCATTCTCTAGTGTTGGAATAAATGTTATTTCCAATTTTTAAAATGAATGAATAAACAATGTGATTTTATTTTATTTTTTTTAATCCTCACCCGAGGATATTTTTCTATTTATCTTCAGATAGAGTGGGAGGGTGGGAGGGAGAGAGAGGGAGAGAGAGCAACATCGATGTGAGAGGGACACATCAACTGGTTGTCTCCCGCACGACCCTGACCAGGGCCAGGAACGAACCACAACCGAGGTACAAGCCCTTGACTAGAATCGAACCCGTGACTCTTTGGTACCCAGACCAATGCTCTAACCACAGAGCAGAACTGGCCAGGGCAACAATGTGATTTTACATAAACATTTTTTTGGGATAAAATTTTAGAAGTAAAATCATTTCATAGAAAGGATCTTGCCCGGCCGATGTGGCTCACTGGCTGAGCGTTAACTCATGCACCAAGAGGTCGCCAGTTTGATTCCCGGTTGTGGGCCCAATCCCCAGTGGGGGACATGAAGAAGGCAGCCAATTGATGTTCTCTCTCATTGATGTTTCTCTCTCTTTCTTTCCCTTCCTCTCTCTAAAAATCAATAAAGAAATAAAAACAAAAACAGAAATTTTAAGGATCTTGTTAAATACTGTAAGGTAATTAGTCAGGCCCTTTCTTTAGGCAATGTATAGAGTATTCTTTTCTAATCACCCTTATTAATAATACCAGATATAAAAAAAGACAACAGGTATTTAATTTATTATTAGTGAGAATTAACACTGTGATTTATTTAACAATTACATATTTTCAGGTGGTATCTATCAGATCAGAATCAGAAAAAATAAATGGCAAGTATTTAGCTTTTAAGTTCAACCAAGGTTGTGGAATGTCCGGCCCACAGGCTGTATAAGACTTGCAAAATCAGTAACAGCTAATGTCACATGCCTCACCAAATTAGCATCACCAAATATAGCAGGCTAATTTTTAAGTTAATAATTTTGCATGGCCCATGAATGATGTTATAAGTATTCAAATGGCCCTTGGCAGAAAAAAGATTCCCCACCACTGCAAGAATTAGTAAATAGATTCAGTCAGCCAGAACCTGTTCTTGTATCTTCTTATATGAAGATCTTATGGCTAATTATGGGAGTGAATTTATTGGGGAGATAAAAGCTTCAGACATTGGTCTTTCTTGTTGCCCTACCTTATAGGTTAAGCTGGACATGAGGAGGTATAGATAATACAATCCTCCTTTAAATTTAGAGGTTTGAGAGTAGGACAATCTTGTGCATTATTTTCTGGGGATGTCCAGGGAAATAAGCATCATTAGAACAGTTCCACTGACATCATGGTGTTGCATCTATCTATAAAGTAGAAATGGTGATATAGTATGAGGGGACTTTAGGTAAAAGCTAATGTCAGTTTTGCAATAATTAAGTTACATTTTTTCACCCTGGCTGGGTGGCTAAGTTGGTTGGAGAATCATTTCATGCACCAAAAGGTTGTAAGTTTGATTCCCAATCAGGGCATATATTTACGTTGCAGGTTTGATCCCCAGTTGGGGCCCCTACAGGAAGCAATCGATTGATGTTTCTCTCTCACATGGATGTTTCTCTTTCTCTCTCCCCCATCCCTTTCTAGAAACATGTCCTCAAGTGAGGATTAAAGGAGATACAAAAGGGGGGAAAAAGTTTTATTTTTTTTACATCTGAGCTAATAACTAAAAAATTGTACCACTGCATTTGTATTTGTATTTCTCCCATCATATATGCATCCGTCTTAGTCACTTAGTCATGAGCATTTCTGAACCTCAACTTTCTAATTTTAAAATGGAAATAATAATATCTATGTAGTGTGTGTTTCATGTAAGTAAATACTCATGCTTCTTGTCCAAGATTCTGTGGGTGGTATATTCCTTGCCAAGTTGAACAGGATATACAAGCGCCCAATACACTATCAGGTAATATGCCTGATCAATAGATATATTGTATCAATATAATATATATTGTCTCAACAAATATGCAGCCAAAATCCAGCCTCTGGCATAAATTCTGCCCTGAAATGGCACTGCTCTCTCTGCCCAGTACCAGGAATCAGTCAAACATTTGGTCAGGCAAGATGAGAGTCGCTGTTCATAGTCTACACACGTCTATCAGCAAAGAGGAGAGTTTTGCTTGCACCGCAGTTGCAGGAGTTTTTCCCAGGAGACTACTACCTGGAGTGATTTGTTTTAGTCATGGGAATGAATCCTGACCTATGAGTAGATGGGAAACTAGCAACTTTCTTGGAATTCTGTCTGATTCTGGCTATAAGGAACTTAACTATAAGACACAGGTCCTGGTATATTCTAGACTTTGGGACAATTTTACTGGCTGCAAGGTACATCTGAAAGTAGAGAGGACTACCCTTATGTGCTCTTTTTTGCTATAATTTCTATCTCATGACACCTGGCCTGGTTCAGAGCTCAAGATGACCTGATGTTCCTCTGTAGAGTCCTTTACTTAGGGTACAGGCAGTCACATAACTCATGCCATTACTTGAGTTGCTGAGAAGTATGCAGCTTTTCAGGAAGACATTCTTGGAGCTTGAAGCCAAGCAGTTGCCTCAATGACTGCCTGATTGTTTCCATTTAACAATTTGGATTTTCTCCCACAGTCACTTCAGTGTGCTCAGTTAATTGGTGTTTCTGCTTGATTTTCACTTTCAGAATTCTATCTCAGCGTTATGAGGATCCAATGTCATGATGTAGGAAAACATTCTTATATTGACATGTTTTGTTTTTGCCTGGTTGGAGAGGTAATGCCAGAATTCTGAGTTCCATGGGAATAGAGCCAAGAGACGTTTGGCTTCTCAGTCAGAGTCAGTGTCCGTGGGAGCGGATATGGGAAAGTCTTGTGGAGGATCCATGGCCAAAACCGCATAATCAAATTTTGTTCTGAATAGTGTCCTTCATGAGATATTAGGAAAAGAGAGAACATAACACTTAAAGAAAAAAACAATTTCTTAATAGAATAATCTTGAATGGTTAGGAAAACAAAGAGGTGAGTTAGTAGGCTAACCTTTTTACATTTTTGGTTTAAAGTAACCTTTGAGATTTAATTAAATTTATCTGTTGGCCCTTCTCAGGAGAACTTTCCAACAGATCTTCAGATCAGAATTAGAGAATATGTTTTAGATCTCTATAAGCCGATTCTAGTAAATGTTCTGCCTATTATGCATATGTAAAATAAAAGTATTTTATTAAAGTCAATTTTTAAAGAAAGTAAATATATGTGTGTTTAATTAAAGCATCGCCCTTTTTATGAAGCAGGAATGATAGCATTATGCTATGAAATTTTTTTCTGTCTTACAATAATCCAAAACTGGAATAAACTAAAACTAAGTATGTATGTCTTTGTTTTATTGACAGAGTATGCATTTATATATCAGGAATGTTTTGTATAATGTTAAACCATGGCTGAAGTGAAATAGTCAGCCTTTATAATAGATTACTAGAAAGTTGTCTGTTATTATTACACATACATTTATGTCTCTCGAATAAAATGGGTAGCTTCATATGTAAAATCTTACATTCTTGAACATTCTGTGGTTTTGACATGATGTGATATTCACTGAGATATTTTGAAATGTAATCTAGTAAAAGATAGGTAAATATGCCTTCTATCTTGTGATTTAAATGGCAACAAAGATATCTTGCTATTAACCCTGTATGCTATCTAAGAAAAAAATGTATTCATTTTCCAAAGTCTTCCTCTGCAAAATTCCATCCAGACATGAATGAACTAAATTTAGTACCATTTTGCATTGCTTGACGTCTTACTCAGGGATGACCAAAATTAGTAATGTTTACTTTGATATGTTTTGCAGTGTGTAAACTGGAACTGAATGACCATGGAAATGAAATTTCAACACTACATGTCACATGCCAGGCAAGTCATTACTTGCATATCACATTTTAGTCTATGTTTTAATTTATTAGTTATATTTTGGGGTAGTATTTGTTTTATTTTTAAAAGTTATAATTTGTTATGGATTTTTAATCATACCACATTTTTAGCAAGTACTATTGGAATGAATGATCAAACAATTATAACACTGATTTTTATTTCTATTTTTTAATTGAGGTATAATTGATATATTTATATTTCTCATATAGTTAATATATACAAACATAAATGCTGTATTTCCTTGGGCAATTTTATTAATTTCTTTTAGCCTCAATTTCCTCTATGAAATGGATATAGTAACAATGTTTAACTTTCAGCATTATAGAGGTAAAATTACATCATTAATGTGAAAACATTTTGAAAACTAGTTATTTTAATTTTTATTCCATACCCAATAAAGTAGTAGTTTTAGTTACACATTACCATAAATTTTCTATTAGAGTCTACTTGTACAAGAGAATCTCCAGATTGATTGATTTGTTTAAATAGATATAAATTATTATAACCCTATGAACATTTATTTGGTGTCCAACATTGCCTTTTCCCAGCTAGTAATCCATGACTCAGAGCTTTTTTTGGTTTTAGTTCTTCTGCATTTTGTCTTTTGGCATCATTCCTTACAGTCTGACCCAGCATCCATTCTACTCTAGCATTTCAGAGCTCTAGTCTTGTTTTTTGAATCAATCCATGGTATGAATTTGAACAGTCCTCTTTTTAGGTTTCAATTCTGTCATATGTAAATTAGATCATCTCTAAGGTCTTTTCCAGCTCACATCTGACACCAACTCATTTCCATTTCTGTATAAATATATATGTTTTGCTAATCATCTGCTCTTTATCGACCTTCTCATTCATACCAACTCTATTCTTCCCTCACTAAAATGCAGCCACACATCATTGTGCAAAAACCAATGCTGAATCCAGATAAGGCTATATTACAAAATATAAATATGAAAAAGCATAGTTTCACTCTTCCATTAGGGCTTGTTGAAGAATTGTAACCAGAACAACATGAGTTTATAATTTGAGGGGCTTTTAATTCATTTGTCCAGTTTAATCTGTCTCAGAATTGCCAGTTGGTGATTAGAAGATCCTTAAGAAACATGGAATGTTGTGGTAAATAAGACATCCAATAATTTGATATTCCTTTTCCTTTTCAAAACTCAAATTGTTTAATGGCTAGAACTAGTTAATTGGAAAGCACATCTTTATATTTTATTAGTTCATAAATAATAATTTTTATATTAAGAAGAAGAATTCCGTATCACTCCCAAGGGTTTGTAAACTAGTTTCTATGAATGAGCTGTAGGAAGGCCCTAAATTCCCTGATATATTAGAAATTGTGAGTTTTATTTTTTCTGGTGAGTGTCCCTAGTTTTCATCAGATTTCAAAGGGGTAATTGACATTCTAATATTTTTATATTATGGCTTACAGTGAAATAAATTAGATTATATGGGGGGTAGAATAAGTGAGTTTTAATTTAGTTACTGTCAATGTAAAATTATTGCCTTATTTATTTTAATAAAATAAAATTTGATTCAGAAGTGCAAAAAACAACTTGAATAAAAACAGAACTGTAGAGTTTGGAAAGGTTTCTTGGTTTGTTTTTATTTTTATTATCTTTAAGTCATATTGGTTTGTGGGAAGTATTACCAAAAATCAGAATATTAAAACTGACACACTACATTGAACTTTCCATGTTTTCTCAAAAGCTCAGGGATTAGAATTATGTTATACAAGTGAGTATTCTCAGGGTGCTGAAAATGAAAATGATGAGCACCTAGACAGACTAGCAGAACACCCTTGCCATTTCTAGGGCCTAGGCAAAACAGAACTGCAAAGGTCCTGTCATAAAAGAGATTAGTCCTGATGCTTCCTTTCCTGGTCATACTGGTTTCAAGAGAGGGCTACCACATGGTAAAATTGGTGATGTGATCCTGGAGCCCCATTATAAAGGTGAATAACAAGATTGGGTACCCTAGCCGGTGTGGCTCAGCAGTTGGTCAGCCTGTGGTCTGGAGAGACCTGGGTTTGGTTCCCGCTAAGGGCACATACCTCGTTTGCAGTTTGTCTCATCCCTGGTTGGGTCGTGCAGGTGGCAGCCACTCGATGTGTCCCTTTCACATCGATGTTTCTCTCTCTCTCCCTCCTGCTCTCTCTGAACAAAAAATGGAAAAATGTCCTCGAGTGAGGATAAAACAAAAGAAAGATTGGGGAGTGTGTCCTTGGAAATTGGGGATGTTCCTTTCTCACACTCCCACCATAGAGGTCAAGGTCTGCAGTTATTTGTACTCCAAAGCCTAAGGTATGTTAATAGACCTACTAACCTAGACCTTTGGGTCATGTCTATTCATGGTCCTAGAAGAAGTAGATTCCAGCATGTGCAACTGAGAGTGGCCTCACCCCATCACCACAGTTGGCTCCTTCTCTACAGGGGCAACCCTCTTAGAGCTCCAGCATAATCAATGTGAAATGTCAGTATTAAAATTAGAACAAATATTAAACCTTGTATGAGTGGAAATTGCTGTAAAGTCATTGTTAGTTAAAAACTACATTTATATTAATGATAAATTATGTATTTAGGAACCATGACATTAGACAGAATTTTAATCACCTGTAACTGCTTTACAGCTAAGTTACTAAACTGATGATGGGTGAAGAGAGTTCACTTCAAAAAGATTTATGTATAGAATTTATGTTGCACTTAGGTATTTCTAGGCACTTTATAATTATTATTTTTTTTATGTTTTATTTTCTTTTTTAAAAATTTATTTTTATTTTTGAAAGTTTTACAGATGGTGCCCATAAGCCTCAGACAAATGTGCCTTTATCATTGAGTGCTAAGAAAATGATGCAGCTTCCCTGTGTTCCTGTGGCTTCAGTAGACTTGTAACTCTAGGACCATATACACTTGCCAACTGCAATCATTTGGAAATTGAACCTATGAAAACATATAAATAGTTTTCAGGTCAAGATAAAGAGAAATGAAACAGATAAGACTACTTCTTGCTCTTGTATGTGAAAAGCAACTTGACTAGGACCAACTTAACAAGAATTTCACTCATGAGAACTAGAGTAGCAAACCTAAAATTCCCAAAGCAAACTTTTGTGCTAAACCATTAGACTTTTATAATAATGTGAAAATCAGAAATCCAGAACTAACCTTCGTAACATAAAACTGTTGTGTCTTTCAAAAAAGGTGAAAACACTTTAATATAATGTATATTGTTTCTACATATTACATGTAAGATATAATTTCACTTAATCATAGGTACAATGAATTTGATGAACAAAATCCTACTTTACAAAACAGAAGTAAATATATGCAGAAACATATTCATTATTGAATTATAAAATAAAATTAACAGTTCTTGTTGAGATATCATTAATTTATTATTCTGTATTTCAGATAATAGAGTGAAGTCATTTTGGTATGCTTAATAATATTTATAAGTATTAAAATAATGGAACGTTGAGATTTGAGTACAGTGACAGTAAACCATTGAAATTTCACATTCACATTATACAGCCATCATCAATCCATAAGTGAATGTTAATAATGTAAAAAAATATAAAATGATTGTAATATAACCATCTAACTGTTAGCATATGGAGTTTTAAGACCACTATCTTATCTGCTAATTTGCTCTGAAAAAAAAGCAGTTCCTTTTCTGTCATATAAGACATGTCTTTGTGCCTTAATACTTAATTTGAAATGTCTTTACTCTAAAAATATACCAAAGTAAATAAAAAAGGAGACACTTATTTACAAAAAAATATTGTATACATATTATATAAATGCAATTGTTTCAAAGTCTTTTTATACAATATTGATATAATCTGTCATTTTTATTATTTTAGCATAAAAACCGCAAGTGTTGCAAAGGCAGGCTGTGATTTTTAAATTTTTGTAGATTTTAAACAGATTAAAATGAATATTTTTTGGCTACCTTTTGAGATAAATCAGTTTCTCCAAGTATGCTACAAAAATGATTCTTCTTGTATTAAAGAAAATCCATTCCTCATTTGGAGATGTATGAAAGTGTACCTGAAGAAAGGAATAACTTATTATTTTGCTGAATGTTTTTACTTGATAAACCTGATATCAGCCTTTCAGTCTGTTGTATTAGCACCATTGGCATGGATTGTTAATGTACTGTACCAATTATAATAGGAATGGGAACTGCATATTGTGTACCATCCCTATTTTTGTGGAATTTTATCTTACCAAGTATGCTGTCATACAATATAAATTCAAGTGTATAAGGATGATTCAAATGATGGTAAATAACAATCCTGCATTTTACAATACTATATATAGTTTTTTTTTTGTAGATACTATATGAAACTCTAAAGAAATAGACGCTAAAGCATACTCCTTTAATTCACTAGAACACAAGGAGAATTGCTTTCATTTACCTGCATATGTTGTTTTATATATATCTATATATATAAACATAAGTGTAATTTGATCTCCTAGTTCAGAAACTCTGGAAATCATGAAGCTTTTTATTGTATGATTTATTTTGATGGTTAAATGCCAATCATTGCATATATTCTCTCTTTTAGTTCATATACTGTAGTTTGTGCTTGAGTGACTGTAGCATACTGTAGGCTTATAGCCTGTGGTACATAATTTCACAGTTTCAAAATTATTGAGGGGAAGGCCTTCCATGTTTTAGGAAGTTATGAACCAAATATAAATTTCATGAGCACCCACAGCGATCTACAACCATGGCTGGAATTTTCCCATATATTATTTGTTCTTTGCCATTAAAATATAGCATATTAATTGGAGACATTTTTGTGGGAGTACAGCAGGGGCCTGCTGAACCTCTGGGATTTGCTTGGTGTACAAGATGAGTATGAGGATATTTTTGTAAAAATACAAATTCACACTCTCCAGAGCAGTAATTGGCCTTGTATCTTTTGGGTGCAATAATCCAATCCCATCCAAAAGCTTCAAAATCCACAGTTAGAG